TAATAATAATAATAATAATAATAATGGATTGCATGCATTTGTATAGTAATATCCCAAAGGAGTAGGAGCTAAGAGCGCTTAATGATAATAACTGCATTCATACAGCGAATATCCACGCTCTACAACATGCTTATACTGACACTCCACGTTGAGATTTCCCTGTAAAAGTTCAAAGGAAAAGAAAGCTGAAAGCTTGCATTATGCATAAACATCCAACATTTTGACATTCGTTTTCCGCCCTGGAATACTGCTCTCATGTCACAAAAATCACTTGATTCTAAACTGTAGAATGGGGGGCAAAAATTTGAAAAGCACAAGCATAACTGGATTGGAATAAGTTTTACGCTCGATTGTTTTTCTAATGTTTGGAAACATTAGGTGGCCCCATGTGCTATCCAAAGAAAGAATTAAAATATATAGATTCACTAGAAGTAAGGGGTTGGGGTGCCCCTCTATGGTTCGATCAGCCTACGTTTTTGCATTTTGGTAAAAAAAAAGAAAGGAAAAGGTCTAAAACGCCAGAGTTCTTACTAATTGATATCACGTCGATGGAGGAGGAGATCATTTGCGATTTATCTAAATGAACATGGTGCTTGCACGTGTGTTCAAAGTGATGATTTCAGGACCCTTATATAATTATTAACTTTTTGAGAGCTCTTTGTCATTTTACAACGCTGGGAGAGAGCTGTTTAAGGGCACTTTTAAAAAAGAAGCATCACACTGAAATCCATATAAGTTCTTAAATTCTTCTCCCTTTATTTCGTGTTTTTGTTTTGTGTTTGATATTTGGAAAGGTTCTGCAACATTTCTGCTGACCGGACATAATATTATGCGTCCGATACCTTTTTAAAGAGTTAACAATATCCTAGGAATCGACAAAAACGGTTGAATGTTATCCCAGAATACTCACACTGTCATCTGGACTCCTGCTTCTCCCACGCATTTTTCGTCCGACGTTATCTCGCTGCTACCAAAACAAACTTGTTCCGTCAGATGACCTGAACTGCTGGTCTCATAAACTGTGATAGGAGATCTGGTCGCCAACGTTATTAACGACAGAGACGAAGATAATGACCACAGAGGGCTTTATCATGTCAGGGTAGACCAAATTATCGAGGTATGTTGAGCCAGCGAGCTAGTTAAAGATTTTCTCACGCACTTTATCAGCCTGCCCACACACCGAGTGCATCCAAAGAGACCGACAGATAGAGATAATTCCCTCATCTAGACGTTTTATTAGTCATACTTATAATAAATCTTTGGATTAACATTGTTGGAAGCCCATTCATAATAATAATATGAATTCAACACGTCATAACTACATTTAGTCCCTTTTCTCGTGATATAACAGCCTCAGAACTTACGTTGTAAATCTACGACATTATTGAATACAACTAATTTATTTCATAAAATAAGGGCAGAGTCAGCAATGTTATTGTACGTGGTGTAGGCTATTGGATAAACGCGTCATCACCACCCCGTAGGGACAGGCGCTGGTTGGAGTGATGAGTTCATCAGAGTCTCCGCAACAGGCGGTCAACATCGGATGAATGAGATAACGTAACGTAGCCCAAACAAGAAGCGGGCGACACTACAGGGATCTTCAATTCTCCATCTGCCCCCCGAGGACGAGGAAAGAAGAAGAAAGCGATACCAATAAATGCGTGCCAAATGAATGCTAATCAGTAGCATCTAGGGGTCCTGTATTGGCACATCAACGTAAAGCCCGCTTTCTTTTTTTTCTTGTTTCCCAGACCAGGTTTGTGCAAACAGGCGGGGTCATGTTTACGTTGGAAGCCAGGTCTTGGCTGTTTTCCATCAGTTGTTTATCCGCTCTGTTTGTGGCCAGAGCCCAATAGCGCTGCATGATAGCGACGCCAGAAAGAGGACAAGGGAGAGAACTGGCAAGAGGTAATAATCCCTTGTACAGAGAGGAATACACATGACGTCAGATGAAGGAGCGAGGAATCACGGCAATTATTGATAAGAATGGCAACCGGTTGAAAGTGATAAACTATGGCATGCTTGTGTTCCTTTAATCTATTACCTCAGGTTGATAATTCTTCACTTCTGAGTGGGAATTGGTTTTTTTTTGGTTTTTTTTGTATAATATTTTACGGCGCTCGCAACTGCATAGGTCATATGAGCGCGCGGGACACACCTAATATTTTCAGTTGGTAGGAAATTTTGAATTTTGCCCGGGTGGCGGCCGAAGCCTACTCTTGTCGATTTTAGACCACCAAGGGATCTTTAACGTACGCAACTTGCACACGGGCCCTCCGAGATTTTTCGCCCTTGTCCGAGAAGGCTAGGTGTAGATCTTTCCTACCAGAAGATCAGGGGTGCGGCAGAAAGACAGCAGTAAGGAGGAGCCAAGGAGTAGCAGTAGAAAGGCTGCAGAAAGAGTCAGGAGCCCAGAGGAGGGGGCAAAGAAGGTGAGGGGGTGGGGGCAGAAAGTGGAAATGAAAGCAGACAACAGAATATTGCTAGAGAGCTGGAAAGGAGGTGAAAGGAGACAATTTTAGAGAAGACAATTTTTCGGTCGCTACCCGGATTCGAACCCGGGACCTTTGAATGAGAGGCCAACACCTTATTCTCTAGGCCACGAGAGCCCCCCGTGGGAATTGTGGGGTGTACGTTCATGGGTGATCACGAATTAAAGAATAATGAATTCGTTCGTTTTCAGATGTTGTATGTGCTAGGCCCTAAAACATATTAAGTAAAACATGTAGGTCTATACCAACACGTTGCTCACTTGAATTGTTTGTATTTTTGAAGAGAGTCAAAGCAGGTCAGACTATAAATTATACCCCTTTCTCTGCAGAGTTCGATATAAACTTGGAAATTGCATTGACATTCAAGGTGAAAGTTAGAGTGTATATTTTACATTTCCCCATTGTTCCTGGTATGCTGTCTCCCAGTTCGGTTTCCTAATACGCGAGAGGGTGCCCCATTTTCAAATGACTCATTAAGTAATGTATATGGACTTTTGATTTTAGTTTAAACGTTTTAGCTGAGAGAAATATATCGGAACAAAAGCATTCATTTAAACGTCGGGAAAAAGCAAATAAAGACACAGAAAGAGAGACGCCAGAGCCAAAGAAAAGAAACTGAACCTGCAAGTCGTGCCTTCCAGCCAACCTCTTCACAAATGCAGTTGGTACCAATCAGAACACCACCAAAACAACAACAACAACAACACCATTAAATTACCTACGAAAAAAAAATGCATAAAAAAGTAATACAACTGTTTTTCTGTTCTGTCTTGGTGTGTTCTGAAAGTATTCCTTCATTTGTACGGATTAGTCGGAGAAAATTTGGATATGAAGGCGAAATATTAATACTTTATACGACATAAAAACATTGCAAATGTATTGAAGCGGAAGCTGATTTGACAGGATGCTACCAAGAACGATACCGAGACTATATATATCTCCAAGGGAATATAAATTATCGCTGTACATTAAGATATTCTTCCAATGAATGCAGGTGTGTGCGCTTCATGGGCGGATCCGAATTGGATATTTCCTGCGTCATGGTAAAGCTGTGTAGGAAGAAATAAATACCTTACCTCCGGCAATACACAAGGGTAAGAATTGACAAACATGTCATCATTACACTTCCTTAACTGTCTTTGGGGTTGCTGACTTCAGATTTCGCTCTCTCTCTCTCTCTCTTTCTCTCTCTCTCTCTCTCTCTCTCTC